CACAGCTGAAACTGTGAACAAAAAACATAGGAAAAAAAAAATCATAGAAAACCTTATTATTTGACCTCTGACCATCTTTCTAGACTTTTCATCAACTCTTTGACTTGATGAGCTGAACTGACACTGGGAGCCATGAGTTATGGGTCAGAAAAAAGGAAACTGAGAGGGTTGCAAGGAAACCATGAGTCCGTGGCCTGTCAGGAACCTGGAATGCACCAGAGGATAAGGTAGCAGCAAGTTAGGAATCAGAAAAGGAATCAAAACCACGAGTGCCACAGGGTGGCACTTTAAGAGTGTTTTCTTTCTCACAGGTTGAATTCTGCACAGCCTTGCCATTATGTTAAGTCTATCACAGGCTCCACTCTGTTCTTCCAACTCCTGTACTTTCTTTCCTTATTCATGCCCAAATGCCTCATCCCCCGACTTCTCTCTTAGAGTCCCATGACAGCTGCCATCAGCCTGCTGACCAAACTTCCATTGAGTCTGTGGCTTGCCTTGTTCTGACATCACTGCCCAGTGGCGTCAGTCTCCTCTCAGTTCAAAAGCCTTATCCTTGAGTTATGTTCAATTTTTCTAAATCTGTTTGGCTCTCTGCAATATTTATCAGAACCAGCCCTTTTATTTATCTTCCTTGTCTGGGGTTAACCATCAGGCTTTAACCTCTTGGCAGTGTTCTTTATCCAGTTTCTCCATCACTTAACCTATGTCTATACTTTCATTTATCTAAACTGGCACTGAGAATATCCCTTGAATGTCATTCAAATCACATTACTAATGAACCTTCAAAGGTACACATATTCTTTCCTAATAACCTGTTTCAAATTAATGCTCTTGCTGATAGGATGGATAGAGTAGGAAGCAATGTCAGAGATATTTCAAACAGTATTTTATAGATAGCAAAACTAACTCAATAATTAAGATAATATCTTCATAGTGACCATAAGTTTTTAAGCATCTCACTCTTTCCAAATTGTTCTTTTCCAATTTACAATCCAAACAAAGCCCTTTCTTTCTTCCAGTGCCTCACCGATTCATACATCCTCTCTGTCCAAACCAACTTCAAAAACGGCTCCTTTCATCTTGTAAAATCTGTCATGATCTGACACACAGTCCTGTCTAGAAAACCTAATGACTGGGTGTTGTTGGGGTTTTGGGAGCTACTACAGATCAGGACTTATACTTCTCTGGAATCTCAGTAAACCACTAGGACTATGGCTTCACTGTGCTTCCTCCTCATTCCTTCCTCTGCATGGAGGCATCTGGTCATTGGAAGTGCGTCAAACATTGAAAAAAATATGCACTTTCTCAAACAAAAGTGACTTTGAAACTGCAGGCCACATCATGAGACCATCAGTTGAATGTGTATCTAGATACACACAGAGATACATACACATGGAGCATATATAATACATACATATTCATACATGTTGCACTTTAATATAAAGTCATAAAACTTCTTAAACACAGATACTATGTATAAGAATTTTATTTGAGAAGTTCCTGTCAACCAGAATGCAATGTGTACATACATGGAGTTTTCTTATTTTTCCTGTTTTCTTAAGTCCTTTCCTCTTTCCTTTTTTCTTTGCAAATTTCCACTGATCTTTGACCTTGATCCTTGATAGAAAGGCAGCCCCTCATCGCTGTTACCTTCCTTTTCTCCCTTGCTCAGGCAATTCATGCTGGTGATCTGGTAAAATGACAAGATTAGATGCAGTCATGGAATTTAGCTGGAGGGAGGAGGGAGAGGAAAGGGCTATTTGGCAATGGTAGGGAGACCAAGGATCATTGTGCCACAAGTGATGATAGGCACAGCCATTCAGGCAAAGTAGTGTACACGGTCCTTAGATGAAGAGTCCTGTTTTGGGGAGCATCCAGGAACATGTGTTGGATTATCAGTTACTAGCATGGGAAAAGTTACCAATTTATCAAATCACTTAATTTGTGCATGTTGAAGGATCATTAAAGGGAGAAGCAGGGAGGAAAAGGAGGAAGAAGCAAAAAGTAGACTTTGGTAAAGACTAGAGGATACAAGAATAAAGGGGTGAATTAGTATGAGACAACCTGAGGTGTCCACTTGCTTCAAGCAATTCTAAATCCTTGTCCTTTCACCTGTGGCCTATTCTCCACCAACAGCTGTGATTGCTATTTTCATTCTGAAATTCAGCTGTTCCCTTGCCAGTCTTGACACAACATTTTAGGCATGTTTTGAACATGACTCATGATACTCTCCAGAGGGCAAAAACCACTTCAGTATTCTATTCTTTTAGTGCTCAGCTTCCTGACCTACTAGGTATTCTCAGACCAAGATGCAAGAGGAATGCCACAGGCCATTTGAGAAGGTAGGGATTATAGCCAAGACATTTGGCAAAGATCACTAGACCACATGAGAGGCCTAAGGGACAAAGGGAAGGAGATTAAAAACCTAACTGCCAAAGTTTTACTTAATCTAAAAGGGCTTATTGATTAGATAGCACCATTCCTTCCATTAGCAAGCATGACTAAAATGTTTGCAACTCTTTTTGATTTGCCATAAGCTGGGATCCCAGAGGGGAGAGATGGAGGGAAGGTTAATGAGCTCTTCAAACACCTTGAGAAATAAAAACTTACCTTTAGGACTCAGACGAGACTAATTTGAGGAACATAATCTCACCAAATTCATTCATTACTATTGAAGTATACACCTTGCAGACAAACTTTTGCACTAAATAATTGATTTTATTTTTGTTCACAAAATGCAAAGCTTTGCACTGCATTATAGTAGTGTTCTAGCACAAGAAAATCCAAAGGTGTTCATGGGGATGTAGTTTATATAATGTGACTTCCATCATTCTTAAAATTAGTATTAAATAGTCATGACAAAGTAGGCCGACCCTGTATAGCATGCGTATTATTGCTTAGAACTTGCAAATATAATTTAAAATGGTACACATACAAAGTATATAAACATTTCAAAATTTTAATGAAAATATTGAAAGACATATTATCCCTTCATTCAGGCAAAGCACAACCAGAAACCAAAATAAAGAATACTATATCATATTTTAGTTCTTAGTAACACTGATTTATAAATTATCTAGTCTTATATTCTATAAATAAAAGTTCAACTTTATGGAAATAAATTAAAAAGTATGTAATTCACAAAATGTTAAATGTATTTTGAGAAACTTCCAAAAATCTTTGACAATACTGTATATTATATATTTTCAGGAAAAAATTGTATATATGTCACTATAGGTATTGCATGTACTGCAGTTTTCAAGTAGCTTTTTCAAATAAAGTCTATTTAAATGTCACTATTACAAATTCTAATAATTACCCAAAGAAAACTCATAACTTACCCTGGTTATGAGTATTATCCACATGAAAGTTCCTTAAGTAAAAAGTAGACATAATCAGACCAGAAACAAATCAAGCAAGAAAAAAACATACAGCATGCTTTATTTACTGCTGTATTTTTAGGTTTTGTTAGCCAAGTAGCAAATAACTGAGGCACATTTAATTGCAGAAAGCATTACATAAAAATATAAAGGACAAAATGTACAAATGATGTTTAACAACTTTTCAGCCAGAGGTATCATATTTATAAATATTTGAGATTTAGAAACATTTCTCATTGTTTTGGTCTGCATGAAGGGCCTGGTATCAAAACTGATGCTCAGTAAGTGTAAACATTATCAGTGCAAAAAAAAAAAAAAAAAAAAAAAAGAGAGAGAGAGAGAGAGAGAGAAGAAAATTCTAAAAGACCTTTAAGAGATGTCTACAATATTTCACTGCATTCCAAAATATCTTCCAGTTAGGGTACTTATTATCAAAGCTAGTAGAGGCTGTTTGAAGTCTAGGTAAGAAAGAAGTAGAGCTCAAGTCCATGTCAAGTCAGTGGATGCTGTACTCCAGGAAACACCAAGTTATCTGTTTGCTAGTAAACTTGTTTTTGTGAATATTACCATAACAAAGATTGCTGTATGGAAGAGCAGGACTTTAAAAACTGTTAGAAGTCAGATCTCCCCCTCATAACAGAGTTAGGTCAGTTCTCCACAATCCCCTTGTGTCATGGGATCTAAGAAAATTTACATAATTACATGCCTACAATAAATCCCCAGCTGAAACACTTTACAAAACTTATTGCTAAACCAGTTTAAGAAAGAGATTACAGATGTTTCTTAATAAAACCATAATTAGCTTTGCTTTGTGTTATAAACAGGTATTAAACGCTCAACAGCTTCCTGTAGCCTCTTAATAAGTTGTGGTTTGTCTGATCTCTACTTAAACTTACTACAAAGCTTTTTAAAATGACAGAACCTATTTGTAAACCTTTAAATTTTCCAGCAGACTGAGGAGCTTACAGATGAACTGGAATGTCTCAGAAGTGAACACAAAAAAGTGTCAGCATGAGGAAGAGAGGTGCTGATGAAGTTTTGGGGGTATCAGGAGGAAGTGATGGATGGGCTAGAAGGACTCACAAAAGTTTCTGGATCTGGGAGAACCCTCATCTTTTAAGGGAAAAGCAGTCTCAGTGTCCCTCCAACTCCAGATCCTGTGAGCATTTTGTATTCCTATCATATTTTTGCATCAGAATTCATTTTCAGGGCTGGGGCTACAGCTCAGTTGTAGAGTGCATGCATGGCATGCACAAGGCCCTTCATTCAATCCTCAGCACCAAAATACAAACAGAATTCATTTCCAGTAGCTTTTAGTACAAGTGAGCTGTGGTTAAGGCTGGGAGGTGTGTGTGCCTTCCTGTCTCTGCACACAGAAAGGGTCCTACTGTTGTGCTGGCTCTGACGTATTGAAAGACATTGAGCCACTCCTCAAATAAAATGACATATTCGCTCTTATGGAATCCAAAACATATACCAAAATATAAGCTTCTATTATGTATAATTGGTGATGTCAACAAATAAGTGGGCTTTCAATTTCATGCAACAGAGTAAACCACTAAACGCCAATCCAGATGTATATTTACATATTTGGAGTTAAGAGCAACATAGAAACAGAAATTTATTCAAATATTTATTTTAATAGGGTCTTTTGGAACATGTTTATTTTCCTTAAAGATGAAACAAAAGAAACATGCACATTACAACAGTTCTTTCCCCTATGTATCTCCATGAGAACAATGTTTCTAAGAACATTATGAGCCGCTGACAGTAAAACACATCTTTCATACCATAAAGAACATTTTCCAATACATCTCAGAGAAGGTGTAAAAGTTTAAAACTGTCACTTTAGTAAAAACCTGATTCAAGTCAAAGAAATTTTAAAATTAAGGATTTGATTCAAATACCTATAAATTAGTCAGTTTTTAAAAACCAGATCTTTAAGACAGTACTGGGTCATCCACAATATATGAGTCACTCTTAGAGATGATAACAATGTAACTATCATTTCACTAACAGAGAATTAGTCTATAAAATAACAACACTTAGAATAAAAAATGTCAACATACTATAGGGTAATTTAAGCTTGAGTTAATTTCTTTGCACTCACATGTAACTTTGTTTTGAGTTTTAAAATAAATGCAAGTAATCCTTAAAAACATTTTGGGCATAAGAATGCAAACCCTTATAAACTCAAGTTCACAATTTTTAAATTCTTACAAATAAAACATTTAATGCAGAATCTGTAATCTTGCAAGCTAACAGCTGATTTTCATTCATTTTTAAGTTTCACAAGAACTTTTGTTTTCTAGAATACAACACAGGTTGTCACGAATTTTCTAGAAAAATAGAATTGCTTAAAAATTTATACCACTTTGCATTTATTTTCTATAAATATTTTAATAGTTATTAAATATCAGAATGCCTGATAGAATCATTTAAATTAATCCATGTAGCCAAAATACTAAATATCTAAAATGTCTAGCAAAAGTTTGTCATTTAACAAATGAAAATTTGTTGTTTAATAAATGATATGTTCTGTCTTCATTTATATTTTAGGTAGATGGATACAACTGCAGAATAGCAAAGTATAGCTCCTGTAAAGATCTGACTTAAAGAAGCTTAGTAGTTTGCCGTGACATTTCCATTTCATATATTCTGTATGTAAAAATGTCCAGCACTACTTCTGAATACTGAATATGGATACTGAATTAACTGTCATGTAGCCAACCTAAGGATTGCTAAGAGAACAACAAGCCTTAGTTTAAAACTTTGATATTTTAAATATAATTATTTAATGAGTAGCTTTGCCAATCAGTGAAAGATAATGTCAGTGACAATAAAAAAGAAGTTGAAAGCATGAAACAACTATTGAAACTGCTATATGGAGACTCACTAACATAGCTTTATATTTTTGTCACTTTGATGGTGGGTTTAAAATCTGTGTTCAGAATTATAGAAATATGCAAAGAGTCAAAAATATTTATTTCAACATTTACTTTCTAAAGAAACAATTTCCAAAATAGTTTTGCAATATAAATGTCTTCCTTTTTTAAAAAAAGCTACTTTGCTTGCAAAAGAGCAAGGACAAGACAAAAATCACTTGTTTTGTACACCCTCACCCTCTAGATAACCAGTACATATTTAAATGCCTCTGATGTGGGCAGCAATAAATTTAGTAACCAATTATCAATGTAATATTAACTGCTTTAAAAATAAATACCTACAATTTGCATTACTTTGTCTTCAAAAAATAAATGTACCAATCAACCTTATTTTATCATTTAGTTATTGACTGAGATTTTGATTTGTCTTTGAGTTCTAGAACTTATCAGGCTCTATCTGCATTGGACAGTCAAATTAAAAGTATTGATGATATTCAGCTAACCTCCTTTCATCATCCTAACATGAGCAATGAAAATGAATCAAACATTATCCTTTAAACCCAGAAACAATGGATTAGATCTTTAGGTTCGGGTTTAATTAAGTTCAAGTATTCACCACTAGTTGAACTAAATCGTTTTTTTTTTTTTTTAAGTAAGAACAATCATTAAAGTCAAGTACTTGCAATAAATAAATAAAAATATTAAGAACTAAATATATAATTCTATATTTGGATTGCAAGAAACAAAGTGAACACACACATATATACACACACACAGAAAAATAGTCATTTATCTTCACATAAGACAATAATTTTGAAAACCAGAATGCTTGGATTAAATTACCTTATTTCCCTCCTGCTCTTTAAGAAAAAATCAAAGCAAGCATGAGAATAAATTGTGAATAAAGTAAATACTGATTTTTTTTTTTTTTTTAGTTTTGGTTTCACCAAAAAGAGGACTATTTTAGGGGCAGAGCAAATCCATATTGCATAAAACTGGTATTGGTGATGATGGGTTCTGAACTTGGGGAGATTTTGCAAATATAAATATTTTTTTCATAGAAAAAGTGCAAGGGAAGCAGACAAACAGTAATATTAAAACTTTTTTCTTAATGATTCCTCCTATCAGCCTAAGTGGTCATGTACCAACATGCATTTCTAGAAGAAGAAATTTATCCACTAAGGAGGTTTATAATGTCTGTCATAAGAGATAATTTAATAAAATACTAAAAATAGAAGAAAGTGACATCTAAAAAACTGTAAAATGCAGAAGTATTTTCTAATAATTAAACTAATGAAATATTCCAAAGTGAGTAAAATCCTTCATTATTAATAGATGAATGTATATCTGAAATGAAAAAAAGTCATTTCTAATAACCTAGGAAAAGAACATGTCAACAATTTAGAAATTAACCCCCATATAGGCGTTGACATGAGAAGAGTGCAGCATAACAAAATGTTGAGTGCTATTTACAGATTTCAAAATAGTTCCCATCCTTTCTGCAAAATTGGTGACACATCAAGTGTGCCAAATCATCACAGTCCTCTTTCCACATAGAAAAATACCAGTGCAGGCCAAAAGATTTCTGGAAAAATTCACCACACTTATAATTTTTATTTAAACCTTTAAGATTTTAACCATGCTTATAATGCAGAAGAAAAGAGGAAATCTTGGAATGAAAACTAAATTTTAGTTTCTCTTTTCTAAAGGTTAAAAAGAATGACACTGAAACCCTGAATAACAATTATAATTAATAACAAAGCACAAGAACATGCCAAGATTTCATCCTATTAGTAGGTATAATGCTGGGTAGTAATGAGGATTGCTTATCTAAATGAAGGTGTTTGACAAAGCACACCTTTAGTCAACTTTTCCATTCTGAAGACGATTGTTGGCTTTCTCTTGTCTCATGAGAGAGATGACTTTGATGCACCCTTTTGAAATTTTGATCATCCACATGACATTCATCACATCCAAAACAATACAAGTAAAAATCCAGGAATACTGGATTAAACATCCAAGCCTTCTGTAGGGTTCTGTTCCATACACGGCAAGCATGAAGCCATACAAAGGAGGTATTGCTACTATCCGCACGACAAAGAATACCACCGTCATGAGAATTCCATTGATGACGTTAGCTTTGGAAAATTTAGAATACTTCAGAGTTTCAAAGAACCATCTGCAAAGAGAATTAAAGAATCATCATATTCTGAAAAGCTGGGAGTTAACCATCTTAATTTTATGTTTCAGTTTTTAAAGTCAGGGAACATCCTCTTAAGGTATAAACCTTATTATAAGTGGAAAGGCAGAAAGCTAGAACAGCTTGCACAATACTGGAAAGAACAAATCTGGGGGACAGGCAGCACCCACTCCGGCTCTTACTGTAAAGCTGCAGCATGAGACAGCATGGCACTGGTGAAGAAATGGGTGAATAAAACCAAGAACAGAAGAAAAAGCTCAGAAATAGCCCCACTCAGATATACTTGAGATGATTTTGGACAAAGTCATTTAGTGAAAAAAATGTGCAAAACTGTATGTCCATATGCAGAAAAAAGAACTTAGGCAGAGAACTTACAGTTCGTTCATAAATTAACTCAAATTGGCTTAAAGGCCTACTTATAAAGTACAAAATTACAAAAATTTCCAGAAGAAAACACAGGGAAAAATATCCACATGATCTCAGGTTGGCTGGTTTTTAGATAACATCACCAAAAATGCAATCTATGAAAGAGAGACATTGGTAAGCTGGACTTCACTAAAATAAAAAACTCACTCTGTGAAAGACACTATTAAGAGAATAAAAATACAATTATATGCTGGGAGAAAATATTTAGTGCACACATATATGATAAAAGTGTATGAATCCAACATATACAAAGACTTCAAAAGCTAAGCACCAAAAAAACAAATAACCCAATCAACAAATGGGCCAAAGACCTGAACAGACACTTCTCAGAAGAGGATATACAATCAATCAACAAATATAGAAAAAATGCTCATCATCTAAAACAATCAGAGAAATACAAATCAAAACTACTCTAAGATATCATCTCACTCTAGTCAGAATGGCAGCTATTAGGAAGACAAACAACAAGTGTTGGCGAGGATGTGGGGAAAAAGGTACACTCATACATTGCTGGTGGGACTGCACATTGGTGCAGCCAATATAGAAAGCAATATGGAGATTCCTTGGAAATCTGGGAATGGAACCACCATTTGACCCAGCTATCCCTCTCCTCAGTCTACACCTAAAGAACTTAAAAACAGCATACTACAGGGACACAGCCACATCAATGTTTATAGCAGCACAATTTACAATAGTTAAACTGTGGAACCAACCTAAATGCCCTTCAGTGGATGAATGGATAAAAAATATGTGGCATATATATACAATAGAATTTTACTCAGCAATAAAAGAGAATAAAATCATGGCATTTGCAGGTAAATGGATGGCACTGGAGAAGATAATGCTAAGTGAAGTTAGCCAACCTCAAAAAAACAAATGCCGAATGTTTTCTCTGATATAAGGAAGCTGACTAATAGTGGGGTAGGGAGCGGGAGCATGGGAGGAATAGATGAATTCTAGATAGGGCAGAGGGGTAGAAGGGAAAGGTAGGAGGCAGGGGATTAGCAAGAATGGTGGAATGTGATGGATATCATTATCCAAAGTATATGTATGAAGACATGAATTGGGTGTCAAGCTACTTTTTATACAAACAGAGATATCAAAAATTGTGGTACATATATATGTGTAATAAGAATTGTAATGCAAAAAAAGTACATGTATAAAGACATGAACTGGCGTGAACATACTTTATATATAAAGATATGAAAAACTGTGCTCTATATATGTAATAAGAATTGTAATGCATTCCGCCGTTGTGTATTTAAAAAAAATAAAATCAATTACATAAAAAAGAATTCAACATATACAATGACTCACCAATATGCAAAATATCCAACTAAAGCTAAGGCAAAAGATCTTAAACATCTTTTTAGAGAAGAAGGGAAACAAGCACATGAAAAGATGCTTAATGTAGGGTATAGTAGCTCACATCCATAGTCCCAGCTATTTGAGACACTGCGGTGAGAGGATCATCTGAGCTCAGGGAGTTTAAGACTAACCTGGGCAACACAGTGAGACTGTAACTAAAAACAAAACACAAACAAACAACAGTCAGCATTGTATTAGGAAAATACAAATAAAATGAGATGCTACTATATAGCCATAAAATGGTTAAAACAACAACAACAACAAAAAAAAAAAAAAAAAAACAAGTGCTAATGAGGATGTAGACCAACAGGATACTCATTGATTGCTGGTGGGAATGCAAAATTGTAGCCTCTTTAGAAGATGGTTTATAGCCCCATCCAGCAATTACATTCATATTTTTCCAACTAATCAAAACTTAGTAAATAAATGTTGCTTTTATTTGAAGCACAAGTGAGAGGTACTCAACCCAGCCTAGAAAGAGATGGGGATTAGTGATAAAAATGATCTCTGGGTTGAGTGCTGAAGAATGACTAAGATGACAGGAGGCCCTTGACAGGAAATGGAAAAGTTGGCATGACATCAGATTTTTGGGAAAATGTGCCAGAAAGAGGTAAGACAGCTCCTCTTGGAGAGCTTTCTGTGTGATGTTAAAGACTCATACTATATTCTGTAAGCAGCAGGATCCACTGAGGGGTTTCAACCAGGAGAGCTGCATATTATCTTCACTGTAGACAATAATAATATCAATGAGAGAAGAAAGGGGGACAAGACTGGAGGCAGGTGTATGGTCTAGAGCAGACATCAGCAAACCTTTTGAAAAAGAGTCAGAAAGTGACATAAATGTCACTGCCTCTGGAGACCATACATTTTCTGTCACCACTACGAAGCCTTGCTGTCCTCAGAAGAAAGCAGTCATGGTAAACAAAGGAACATAGATGTGTACCAGCAAAACTTTATTTACAAAACAGCAGTAGGGTTAGCTCACAAGGCATAGTTTTCCAAGCTAGTCTAGAGTAGCACCGTTCAAAGGAAATTTTCGCAACAATGAAAATGCTCCTTTTGATATGCTGCTCAATTCAGTAGCCTTGGACCACATGGGGCTATGAAGTCAGACTAAGGAACTGATTTTTAAGTTTTAATTAATTTAAATATAAACAGTCATATAGGTTGAACATCCTAATCATAAAAACCCTAAATCTGAAACTTTTTGAGAATTGACACAGTGATATAAGTGGGAAATTCCACATGTCACCCATGTGATGGGTAATAGTCAAAATGCAGGTATACTACAAATATTATATAAATTCTCTGTAGGCTCTGTGTATAGAGTGTATGTGAAACATAAATGAATGTCATGTTCAGACTTGAGTGTCTTCCCCAAGATGTGCACATGTGCACATTATGTGCATATGCAAGTATTCCAAAATCCTAAAAAGTCTGAAATCTGAAACACCTGTGGTCCCGAGCATTTCAGAGAAGGGCTACTTTACATATATTGTAGCTCATGGTGACTCTGCTGGACAGTGCAGAGTTAGAAGCAGGTAAGGCAATGTGGGCAAGGTGGTGATGAACTAGGGCACCAATAGTAGAGATGGAAAAGAGGTAGCAGAGGTAAGAAACATAGTGACAGAACAGATGAGGAAGAAACAGGATGATTCCCACATGTTGAACAGGAGCAACTGGGAAGAGGGCCAGATGTCAATCATGAGACACAGGGAGAGATATGTGGCATTATTTTAGACATGCTGAATCTATTATAAAACCTAATAATATAAAACATGTGACTATGATACAAAGACAACATATAATCATAAAAGCCTTTCCTTTGGTTTGGGGATTGGGGGTTTAGAATTTGAAGGGTGGGTAATTTTTTTAAGTTTGGGGGGAGGAATGCTTGGGAGGCTGAGACAAGAGGATTACAAGTTTGAGACCAGCCTTACCAACTTAGTGAGACCCTGTCTCAAAATAAAAAATAGAAAGGGTTACGGGTGTAGCTTATTAGTAAAGTTCCTCTGGGTTCAATACCCAGTACCCCCAAAACAATTGGGGGAAAATGAAAGATATGGGAGAAACAAAGGAAGAAACGTGAAAACAACCCTCAAGTAGTAGACAGACTATAAAACTTCGTCTGAGTACTAAGAAATGTGGCTGGAAACAGAGCACATCACAGAGAACTTCCAAAGCCAAAGCGAGCAGAATAAACAGGATGTGATTTGTAGTCAGAAAATAGGTATTGAAAGTGGAACTAGGAAAGATGACTCTGGTAGCAGTGTGAGGAGAAGGTTGAGAGAGGAAGAACCTGGAATTAGGCAATTCAGTCAGAAAGCTCTGAAGTGATGGAAGCAGTGCAAATCCTGAAGGCCTAAACAGGGACCATGGACATGGAAAGAGGGACAGCCAAACAATTCACAAAAAAAGAACTACCAGACATTGTTAAATGAGAAGCATGGTAGAGGATAACAATAAAGCCAATGTCAAAAATGAACAACTCCCTCCCTCTTTCAGTGCCTTGAGGGTAGGTTATACTTCAAGTCATGCTTTCAAGAACAGAATATGGGGGGCCAGAAGTCTATAATGGAGGAATCTGGCAAAAAACACCACCTCAACCAAGTGTTAAAGGTCAATATCTCCAGTGATATCATGGAGTTATAAAAAACCCCTGATAAGGAATGACAAGAAGAGTCCTTCACCTCTGTGGGGGTATTTCTGAAGTCCTGTAAGTTGTGTCTATTCATGAGCTAAGCACCCAAAGAACTCAGATTGGGGAACATTCTGTGAGAAAACTTGCCAGTACTCCATAACAAGGAGTCAAGAGCAAGAAAAATAAGAAAAGACTAAGAAACTGTTACAGATCAGAAGAGATTGTGAGGACATTTCCCCAGATTGAGGAGACAACAAAATGCAGTGTGGCACTCTGGTATGGACCCTAGAGCAGACGGAGGACACTAATAGAACAACTGATGAGGCCTAAAAGGTCTGGAATTTACTTAACAGTAACATATCAGCGCTAGGTTCTTAGTTTTGACAAATGTTTTATGGTAATATAAATGTTAACCTTGAGAAAACTAGGCAAGGAGTATGTGTGAGTTCTGATCTATCTTTGCAATTTGTCTATAAATCTAAAAATTTTTAAATGATCAATTTTAACAAAAATTTTAAAAAGCACTCATTTACAATAATATCAAAAAAGATACTCATGAATAAATTTAGTCAAAGGGGTAAAGATGTGTATACTTAAAACTATAATACATGTTAAAAGAAATCATAGATCTAAATTAATGGAAAGACATTATGTGCCCAAAGATTAGACTGATTTGCACACCACCAATGGAACAGAATAGAGAGATCAGAAGTAATCCCTTCCATATCTGGCTAAGTGACCAATGATAAGGATACTGAGACTATGCAATGGAGAAAGGACCGTCTCTTCAACACATGGTGCTGGGCACACCAAACATCCACATACAAAAAAATGAACCCTTACCTTATATTACTTATAAATTTTAACTCAAAATGGATTGAAGACTGAAATTTAAGATCAAATTATAGAACTCCTAGAAGAAAATATAAGGAAAAGCTTCAGGGCATTAGATTTGGCAATGGTTTCTTGATATGACACCAAAAGCACAGGCAACAAAATATAAAAACAGAAAAATAGAACTACAACAACCCTAAAAACTTCTGCACACGAAAGGGAACAATCATCAGAATGAAAAACCAATCTATGAATGCAATAATATCTTATAAATCATATATCTGATAATTTAAAAATAAAAATCTAAACAACCCAATTAACAAATGGGCAAATAAATAATTTTATTTGAATAAATAATTTTGAATTTGAATAAATAATTTTTCAAAGAAGAAACACAAATGGCCAATAAGTATATGCAGATACTTGTTTTTGGAAATGAGGTATCCCCCAAAAGCTTCTGTGATAATGCAGGGATAATTCAGAGCTGAAATGACTGAGAGCTGTAAGCTAATCACTCCATCCTAATTTGAGTGTAATAACCACATTTGAATTTGGTAACTGTAGGTAGGTGGGCATAGTTGGAGGAGGTGTGTCTCTGGGGACACACCTTCCCTGCAGCCTCTTCCTTTTTCCCCCTGATTCCTGTCAAGTCAGGGGAGGACCAGCTTTCCTCTGCCACACTTGTGCCATGGTGTTGTTCTGTCTCATCTTGGACTCAGAGCAATGAAGTCGGCTGACCATGGACTGAACCTCTGAAACCATGAACCAAAATAAACTATTCTTCCTCTAAGTTGTTCTTGTCAGGTATTTTGGTCACAGTGATGAAAACCTGAACAATACAATACTCAATATTATGAATCACAGAAAAATGCAAATCAAAACCACGAGATATTGCTTCACGTCCATTAAAATGGAAGCTAGCAAAATGATAGAAAATAACAAGTGTTGGGGAGGACATGAAGAAACTGGAACCTTTGTGCACTGTTGCTAGGAATAAAAAAAATGTACCTACTCTGGAAAACAGTGTGGAAATTCCCTAAAAAACTAAAAATGAAACTACTATATAATTCAGCAACCCTACTTATGAATATATGTCCAAAAGGATTCAGAACAGGATCTCAAAGATTTATCTACATACCCATGTGCAGTGCAGCATTATTTACAATAGCCAAGAGGGGCAAGCAATTTAAATGACCATGGAAGGATGAGCAGATAAAGCAAATGTAGCATATAGATACAAAAGAATAGGTTTGGCTTTAAAAAAGGAAATCCTATCACATGCTACAATATGATGAATATTGAGGACAATATGCTAAGCTAAATAAACCAGTCACAAAAGGACAAACACTCTATGGACCATTAAAATGGAATTCTAAAGTAGTTTTGGGGAGGGGGAACTAGTGTTTAATGAATATAATCTAGATTTTTCAAGATAAAAGACCTAGAGATCTGTTACACAACAACATATTTAATACTATTGAGTATACTTAACACTACTGAACTGTATTTTTGAAAATGGTTAGGACAGCCAGGAGTAGTGGCATATGCCTGTAATCCAGCAGCTCAGGAGGCTGAGGCAGAAGGATCACAAGTTCAAAGCCAGCCTCAGCAAAAGCAAGGCTCTAAGCAACTCATTGAGACCCTATCTCTAAATAAAATACAAAATAGGGAGGGGGATGTGGCTCAGTGATCAAGTGCCCCTGAGTTCAATCCCTGGCATCCCCATAAAAAAATGATTAGAATGGTTAAAAACATTCTCTAGCAATAGCTATCAATATTATACATTGTTAGTTACTTATGCTGAGTCCATATATGAAATAAAACTAGCCTTTTAAATATTTTTTGAAAAGTGAAAATTAAAAAGTTGTTTTTTTTAATGAGAGTCAAAGATAGTGTTGATATCACAATTTGGGGACAGAAAGGGTACTAGTGTCAGGAATATAAACTGAACCTAAGATGAGCCAGAATGATGCCATGAAGAATCTCCACTGAATTCTAAGATGCAGTGAATACAGTTCACTGTGCAGTGTACATCATGAAGGGTAAAAGAATGAATGCCCTGGAACCAGGCATAAAGCACAGTCTAGTGCAAAGAAAGCTGGGTTCAAAAACTACTACCACCACTTACCAGCAGGGGAACCTTGGATAAGTTAACCAACTGAACCTTTCCAAGGCTCATTTTCCTCATGTGGACAATGGTGACAATAACTCATACCACATCTTCTCATTTTTTATATGGTAGGTTTTGCATCTTGAGGAAAAAGTTTTTTTAAACTAAAAATAAGCAGCACAACTTTTAAATAATTAATGATAGTGTAACCTACCGCTGATTTACGAAAGGGCTGGAAAGCTCTGCAAGCAGGCGGAAATTCGCAACATATACCAGCACTCCATCTTTCTAGATGATAAATATAAAATACAATGTCAGGGATAACATGCTTATCAAAATGTCCAAATACTTTAGAAATACTCAACAGCTTCTGCGCATTACATATCAGTATGGAAACAGACCAAGAAGTTTTCTACCTTTTACTACTTAACTGGTTTTCCTCACAAGAATTTAGAAATGTCCTTAGAATTCAACAATATTTTTAAAAGACAGTATACAGTATGCTTAAGTTTACTTATAGCATTTAATGTTCATTTATGAAAACAGGTTTCAAGCAGTTTTCTCATGCTGAATGCTTAACCAATGAACCCTGTATTTAACCTTTATGACAGCATCCTTGAACTACTGAAGAAAGAATGATCACAAAGTAGTATGAAATTTCAGAAGGTGAGGAATTTTAACAGCACTTAAGTATCTAATAGGAACTCATTTTTATATCCATTATTAAGCAGAAGTACCTCTTAAAAATCCTAAAAGCACAATTATACTAAATAAACATATTTAAGTTTGTGAGTAGATACATATTTGTCAAATATAACAACATGTCAAGTCTTGTCTATCATAATCGACCTAAAAAATACACCATCAGTCAAAAGATCCTCAAGGTAAAACACATACCTTGGGGACCTTTCTAAATTTAAACATAATATTGAGTACATTCTACCAAGTTAATAACATGAAAAGTACAGTAGAGTTAATAAACATTCAAAAGTAAACCAAAAGTATACGTTCCAAGAATTTTATCTAATGTGCTTTAAAAATTACCTAATTAAAAATTAGGTAAATGGAGTCACTCCATTTCTTTAAATTAAATCATAATTATAATTACATCTCAAAAAAAAACCCCAAATCCTACCTACCCTAATACATTAGATACACACACACAACTTGGGAAACTATTTTTCTATTTTTCTACTGGATATACCATATTAAATAGGAACAGCATGAAGAATTAAAAAATTAAGTGAACTTTTTATTTGAAGATTTTTAGTATCTATTAATCGAAATTATTTTAGAAATTTAAAATTCAAAGCTAAATTAACTTTTCAAAGGTCAACGACTTTTTAATTTAATTTTTTATAGAAATGGAGCACAACTTTTCATTTCTCTGGTTGTATATGATGTAGAGTCACACTTTGCACTTATACCCGCAACATAAGATAATGATGTCTGTCTTATTCCACCATCTTTCTCCCCACACCCAGACGCACACACCCCCTTCTGCCCAATCCAAGTTCCTGCGGTCTTCCCTTGCCACCCCCCATTATGGATCACTTATCAGAGAAAACATTTGGCCTTTGGTTTTTTGGGATTGGCTTACTTTGCTTAGCACAATATTCTCCAACTCTATCCATTTACCTGTAAATCCTATAATTTCATTCTTTTTTATGGCTGAGTAATATTCTGTTGTGTATATATCCCACAGTTTCTTTTTTATTATTATTTTTTAGTTGAACACAATATCTTTATTTATTTTTATGTGGTGCTGAGGATCGAACCCAGGGCCTCACACGTGCTAGGTGAGCGCTCTACCACTGAGCCACAACCCCAGCCCCAATATCCCTCAGTTTCTTTATCTATTCATCCATTGAAGGGCATCTAGGTGGGTTCCAATTTAGCTATTGTGAGTTGAGCTGCTATAAACATTAAGATGGCTGCATCACTGTAGTATGCTGATTTTAAGTCCTTTGGGTATAGACCAAGGAGTGGGATAGCTGGGTCAAATGAGGGTTCCATTCCAAGTTTTTCTAAGGAATCTCTATACTGCTTTCCAAAGTGGTTGCACCATTTTGCAATCCCACCAGCAATGAATCACTTCATCTTTTTCCCCACATCCTCGCCGGCACTTATTGTGCTTGAATTCTTGATAATTGCCATACTGACTGGCATGAGATAAAATCTTAGTTTTGACTTACATTTCTCTAATTGCTAGAGATGTTGAATATTTTTTCATATATTTGTTGACCAACTGTATATCTTCTCCTATGAAGTATCTGCTCTTTTCCTTAGCCCATTTATTGATTGTGTTATTTGTTTTTTTAGCTAACAACTTTTTATAATGTCAAATTCATTCTCTTTAATGATACTGGAATGGATGATGAGTAAGAAGGGAGGAAGGATGGCCAAAGAGACAAAAAGTAACAGACCAGGTGAACCCTGTATGCACAGGAGGGCAACCAACCTTGGAGAGTCAACCAGGAAAGTTATAGCAATTCCAAAACAAGTAAGTATGAGAAAGTAGTATATCCAGGTTTATTACCTTAAACAGAATATGGTGAACAGTTAACAGTGGCAATTAATGGCAATAACACTCATATAAGACAAACACTTTTGAAAAAAATTTAACAGTATTTATGTTTTTATTCATTTAACTCAGTTGGATATAACTGAGTAGTTAAAGTATAACTTTAATGTTAGTAGGTTATAGTACTATATACTTAAAAAAAAGAATATGTAACATGTTTTTTTAAATGTAAACATAGGGCTAACTGAAGTTATTATCTATCCATCCTGAATTAAAAACAAAACAAAAACAACGTAATCTCTGAATTGCCCACAGCCTTTAGGACATCCATCTTTCCTTGTATTCAACTAAGACAATTCAGATCAAACATAAAATTCACTTTGACTTACAGCTCTGCTCTTCAGCCCACATTATACCAATTCCTGGTGTTTGTCCAATATGGTGAGCTCAAGCTAAATATTCTCCCAATGAAGATGTCTGAGCATAGAATACTTAAGATTTTACTTCTAGCAACAGCAAGCTTTTAAAATTATAAAAAGTAATTTTCCACCTCTTCAGAAATGTCTATCCACTCTCTATCTCCAGGCTTTCTTTGGTAGACCAACTGTTAATAAGTCTCTTTGCATACATAAATTCATCATTTTCACCATTTCTATCTAAAACGTTTACCACTTTTATACACTCCAAAGCATACTGGATGGATTCCAAATTGTAAGTCCAGTTCAATGCACTATCCCTTTCTTACCTTATTTGTTTTAGTTTTGAAGCTGTCTCACTTCTAAAAACTGAGTGTTTCACCATATGAGTTTTGATAACACATAACATCATCAAATAACTTAGGTGTAGACAGCTTACCCTTTGCTAAATTCCTTAGGGCCTCCTCAAATATCACTAGTTTTGGAAACTGATGTTTATAAATGTCTGTTTTACTCTATATTTTTCTGCATTCTCATTCTCAACTTATTTCCAAATAAAGGATACTCTTTTGGCCACAACTCTGAAAATATGATTTTACAACACACTAACATATAATTTCTTTTTGTTGCTGGCAACAGTGACACCTATTTTGTAGGCACGTGTCTTCAGAGGATATTCTTCCTCTCCTGTTTCCACTAACTAAAAAATAACTGCAAATTTGGAGGAAATTTAAAAGTGACCAAAAACTATCATTATGAAAGCCTCAATATCAGTAAGCAAGTCACATCTATTCTTAGCAGTGTTATATGCAAAGGCATTTAGCAGGCAATATCTTTTTATTTTCTTTAGAAAGAAAATGACATTGTATTTCCATTTGCACTATCTGCTGAATAGGCAGGCAGATGAGCAAAATCTAATTTGTATCTGAACCTATCATCAACTTTGCTTCATATTTTCTTTAGCTTCTTTAAAATCCTTATAGAAATCAACACTTTGATTTGAAACTCCATTTTCTAAATCAAAGTGCCTAAGAGCTAGGGGAGCATGTTTTTGTTGCTGTGATTTGATGCAACAACTGATAAAGAGTATTAGAAAGTATGGCCACTGATAAGATCTGATAGAATCAGCTCTATATTAGAAAAGGTCAACACATCTCATCAACCCTCCACCCTTTTTGCCTATAGAATGTTTTAATTGCAACCTATGAATTAGTAAAATGTAACTTTATTTATTTTCATTCAGCAATCAAGGGAACAACAAAATAACACATGTATATTTATGTGGTATTGTCCAAGCTCATTCAATGCCTGTTATTTTCAACTATTTTTTTTTAAGATGACTAAAGTTCAGATTGATTTAGAATTACTTGTCTATTGCATCCTAGACTTGTGAGATACTGTCTCCTTAGGTGCTTTAAAAAAAACTATATATGTAACTATATATATATATATATATTATATATATATTATATATATATTATATATATTATATATATATTATATATATATAATATATATATATTGGTTGTAGTTAGACACAATATCTTCATTTTATTTATTTTTATGTGGTGCTGAGGATCAAACCTAGGGCTTCGTACATGCTAGGCGAGCACTCTACCACTGAACCACAATCTCAGCCCTCCTTAGGTGCTTTTCTGATTCCCCTACTATGCCTGTATTAGTTTGCTCAGAATATCATAACAAAAATAAACTGGATGGCTTAAACAGAAATGTATTGTCTCACAGTTCTGGAAGTAGAAATCCAAGATCAAGTGTCAACAGGGCCTTTAAAGGTGCTAGGGAAAGATCTATTCCAGGGCTTCTTGCAATTCCTTAGCTTTGATAGCCTAACTCTACACTTCACATGACTTTCTTGCTAAATACATGTCTAGGTCTAAATTCCCCCCTTTTATAAGGACATCAGTTACAGTATATTAACTCCAATATTAACTTAGCTAATCAAGTCTCCATTAACTCTATTTCCAAATAAAGTCAGTACAATGTATGAATTTTTGAGGGGGCATAATTCAACTCATAATGATGCCAAATACCAAATTCTTTTCTGCATATTGTATAGTATGCTTTATTTTGGTTATCTATCTAATTCAATTTTATGTCATTTTATATCATCCGTCTGATATAACATGTCTTATATACTAACATATAAAATAATGTTATATAGATTTCCACATATAATAATAACCTTTTCCAGTGATGTGTGGAACATTCTGGATTTGGCATATAACCATTCTAATTTTCATCATCTACACTCTTAGGAAATACACTAATATTCACAGTGTTATACTAGCTCTATGCTAAAACAGATCATAATAGCTAATAGAATGAGC